TCCTGCTCCTCCTGTTTTCGTCCTTATCCTCGTGGGGGCCTTGCGGGGGAAAACAAACAGGAGCAAGGCGGCAACGTGTGCTCGAGCACAAGATGGCCTCGAAGATGGCACTGGATAGCCCAAGTAAGGAACACAAGTATACAAAAAGTGCAGGGGGAGGGGGGACACCTACAAAAAATCGCGGACCCGCAGATTCCTTTTATGAAATCGCTATTTCCCGGGACCCAGCGCCGCGTGCTCGAGCGCAGTATGGCACCCTACATGACATGATTGTCGGCCTCCGGGGGCTTCCGAAAAACAGTCCTCGACCAGCGCGGAAACAATTTCTTGGATTGCAGCTCCTTCGTTCTCATGAGGGCAGCCATGGAAAATCTGACGGCAACGATTGTCCGAAGCCGCACCGCAGGCACACCGCGGGCACACCACCAGCACACCAGGCACAAAAACGCACCGACACGCATGAAGACGTTAAACAGCTTACGTTATGTATGCGAGACGTCGACATGCTTTTTGGCGTGCTGGCGAAGCTCGTTTCGCGGGCCGGCTTGGGGGGAACAGTTGTCTTCCTCTGAAAGGGAACTGGAACAAATCCCCCCGCGCCAGCCTGCTAAGCAAGTTCCACCAACGCGCCGAAAACATGCAGACGTCTCGTTCAAATCAAATAATGGCTCCGCGTGTTGGTGCGTGTCGGTACGCTTTTGTGCCCGGTGTGCTGGCGGTGTGCCCGTGATGTGCCTGCGGCGTGGCGCGCGCGAGCGTGCATTTCAATAGCGACGTCCTGGCAAAACCCTCTGTTCTGCAGCACGCTACGGAAGCCCTAAACTCAAGCAAATCAATGTGGTCCCTGGCGTCAATATCCAGAAGATGCAAAAACACATGTTTGAATTTTTTGCCAGCGTTTCCCCCTTCGAGGAAACGAATTTGTAAAGGTATGCGACCCCGTCTGGTTTGCATGTTTTCAGTATCCCCCATCTCTCTTCTCCTTCACCATCCAAGCAACTCTTCCCCAAGGCTCGTCCTACTCCTCATCCTCGTTTTCCTCTTCCTCTCGTTGGCTTCGCGGGATGTGCTCCGGCGACGTCCTCAAAACCTCAAAACAATGTGGGTCCTAAGTTTTGTGGGAGAGCAATGAAAAATACTGGTTGGCGTAATGGGGAAAAACATTACGTCGACCAGGCGTGCCTTGATCAGTGGGGCGGGCGGAGCACCGACGCACATCACAAGACACCTTCGAGCCGCGCCCAGCCGTAGCGACGAGGTGTGACCCGATACGAATGAAAACAACTATGATTGTATATTCATGCAGCTCGAATGCGCCACGCTGTCCTCCTACCTCGCCCTGATGATCTTGAATCCCTGCCTTTCTCTTTCCTCCTCCTCCTCCTCCTCCTCTTCCTCCTTCTCCTCTTCCTCCTCCTCCCCCTCCTCCGCTTGAGTATGAACGAAAACGACTAATCCGAGCGGCGAAGACGTCGTCGACGACGGGCCGCAAGGAGGATTGGAGGTAGTCCGCCGCAATTTCCTTGTTCCCCTACCCTGAGTTACAAAGGCAAACTTTTAAGGAAACCCGCAAGCGTTCTCAACTTAAAAGAACCGACAAACTTCTGCACAGGCGCGTCCCCACAAACCTCTAAACTTTCAAACTTTCAAACTTTCAAACTTTCAACCTTTCAAAGTTTGAAAAGGGTGCTGCTTTAAAGTTTGAGCAAATTTTCGAACTTTGAAAATTTGAAAATTTGAAAATTTGAAAAAATGACAACTTGACATCCATGCATTTCGAATCGCCAACTTTTCAAAATTCAAAATGTCAAACTTTGATGCCTTAAAAAAACGCAAACGTTCAAAGTTTGAAAAAAAAATCAAACGTTCAAATTTTCAAAATTTGAAAACCCAGAATTAAAACGCCCTCAAGAGGCACCCCCAGAAGCCTCAAGAGGCCCCCAAGAGGCCCCAAGAGGCCCCAAGAGGCCCCAACAAGGCCCCCAAGAGGATTCAAAACTGCCTACCAGAGGCCCCCAAGAGGACCCAACACGGCCCCCAAGCGGCAGGGCAATATGGGCTGGCGGAATGAGCGAAGCGATTGAATAAAAATATATAGATTTAAATATGTATGAACACCGTTAAATACATTGGAAGGCTGGCACAGCTTCCACAGGCTGGCCTAGTTAGCACCAATGTGTGGGGCGCAACTGTCACAGTGGATCGATACTTGAGCTTGTGCAATACTGTTTGGTTTGTGCGCCGGCAGGCTGGCGAGGCACAGTCAAAGATGAGGTGGTTCCCCCCACACACCTCCATTGCCATCCCACAGGAGGAGGAGGAGGACGAGGAGGAGGAAGGAACGAGAGGCATTAATAGAACACATGTATGCTATGAGATGAGGAGATGATCACACCGTTGAATACATTGGAAGGCTGGCACACTTTTCACAGGCGGGCCTGGTTGGCACCAATGTGTGGCGCAACTGTCACACTGGATCGATGCTTAAGTTCGTGCAATACTTCTTGTATGCCGGCAGGCTGGCGAGGCAGAGTCAAAGACTAGGTAGCCTCTCTCCGCGTCCATCGTTGATCGTCCAGCGCTGCGCGCTCGTCGCTGCTCTCTCATCGATGCTGCTCCTTTTCCTCCTCCTCCTCATCATCATCAACATCATCATCCTCATCCTCCTCATCATCATCATCATCATCATCATCATCATCATCATCATCATCATCATCATCATGTTCCTCCTCCTCCTCTTCCTCCTCCTCCTCCTCCTCCCCCTTCCCCCATGAACCTATGCAGTGGTACGTTCTGGCTAGAATTTTGAAGGAAATCCAGCCATGGCGACAAGCCTCCCAGAGTCCCCCACAACACAAGCTGACACTAGCCGATACATCGATGCCCAGAAATCTGTACGATATCCTGGCGCAGAGCCAAGGACAGCGAGGGTGATTCAACCTCGAACCCCAGACCTCCTGGAAAGCTCTCTGGCCAAAATCTCTGGGAGCCGTGGCGACGAGGGGCCTCCAGAGCCCCAAAAATGTAGGGAAAAAAGGTTTCAGGGTACAAATGTCCGCGCGAATGTCCACAACAACAACAACAACAACACCACCAACAACAACAACAACAACAACAACAACAGCAACAACAACAACAACAACAACAACAACAACAACAACAACAACAACAGCAGCAGCAGCAGCAGCAGCAGCAGTCAACAACAACAACAACAACCACAACAACAACAACAACAACAATAATAACAACAACAACAACAACAACAACAACAACAACAACAACAACAACAACAGCAGCAGCAGCAGCAGCAGCAGTCAACAACAACAACAACAACCACAACAACAACAACAATAATAACAACAACAACAACAACCACAAAAGCAGCAGCAGCAGCAGCAACAACAGCAACAACAACAACAACGACGATGACGACGACGACAACAACAACCACCAAAAACAACAGCCGCAGCAACAACAACAACAACAGCAACAACAACAACAACGTCAACAACAACAACAACCACAACAACCACAACAACCACAACAACAACAACGACGACGACGACGACAACAAAGATATGAATGCGGACCTTGTAGATTGGGCGCAGGCCCTCCCAGAGAATAACAAAACACATCAAGACCATGCCGGTTCATGAAGTAGGAAGGCGCTAGACGGAAATTAAGATCCGGGAATCCAAAAGTACCGATTCTCAACGACCGACGGGTCAGACCTCCCACAACTCGCTCCGAGAAGTCGTCTAGAAACTCCACAAACAAAAAAACGACCCTCGAGAAGGCTGGGAGAGCCCAGGCTGGCTGGGGTGGCCCCTGGGGCGGCGTTCCCACCCTCCGGCATGGATGCTTCTGGCGAGGCTGACCGGGCAGGAGGAGGCCGCCGCGACGGAACGTCCCCCAGCATGGCGCCTTCTGGGCGGGCAGGTCCGTGGCCACCCCTTTTTCGGCGGCGAGCGAGGGGGGCGAGCGGGATGGGGAGGGCCTTCTCAGAAGGCGGCGGGGCTTCTCAGAAGCCCTCGCGCCTTCTGAGAGGTTCTCCGTGCCTTCGGTGAAGGCTTCGAAAACTCCTCAGAAGGCCAGGGGCCTTCCGAGCCTTCGGAGAAGGCCTTCTCCTTCTCACTTCCCCTCCAGGCTCCCCGCCGAGCAGTGGCTCCGATCTGCTGCCGCGCGCGATGGGTGTTGTCTTCGATCCCCGCCTGCTGATGGTTCTACACGGCAGGTTCCCCCTCCGTCTCCGAGTCCGTCCAGGGGCTGGCTCGACGTAGATGATGAGTTTCTAGAGGAAGAAAAAACGGCATACACATAAACTTGTGGCGCTCTGCGCGGATTCCTTGGATCTGCGCTGCACCCCCCTCCCTGGCGCGCGGAGCGCGCCAGGGGCGGCGCTGCAGGCGCCGCCAGGGGGGCCCAGCACGGACGGGGAGAGCCAAACATTTATGTTTATGGCGTTTTTCGTTCTTCCATCTTCGCATCCTGGGCGCCCCGGGCAGACCAGGTTAGCATCGTGGGGAACTAGACTCCAGAACATGCTGGGGGACATGCAGGGCACTGAGGGGAGCGAGTGCTCCAGAGGTCTTACGTAGGGTCTTCCACCAGGTGTCCACCGTCGGTAGTTCCGTTGCTGAGGTCGATTGGAATTCCGTGGCAACTCATGGGAGCCTCCCATACCATCTTGATGACTCTTGCGAATCGATGCTGGTCGACGCTAGATCGGCGCTAAATCGACGCTACGTCGACGCAAATCGACGCTAGGCGACGCTAGATCGGCACTATCCCATCGACTCCAGACGCTGGTAGACGCTAATCGATGCTAAAGACGGAATTAAGAGGGTACGATAGGGGCCCGACCACAAGAAACCCTCCACAAGAAAGCCAACCCCGAGACCCCGGGACGTCCACTGATGTCTGGTGTGGGAACGCCGCGCTCTCCGTCGCAGAACAGTCGAAACCCAAGACACCCAGGGCACACTGGAGGCAAGCAGGGTGTTTCTTGGCATGGGCCCCCACTGTGTAGCAGGCTCCCTGGGGAGACCCTGGAGCGGGCGGTGCAGGCGCGACGGACGGCAGACGCCCGCGGGCGAGCTGCACGGCTGGCGCCGCGCATGGCCGGGCGAGCGGCTCGGAACGGCGGCGGAGCAGCGCACCGTTTGTGCGAAGCTCGGGCGCGGCACCCATGAGGATTTGGCGGACGATTCGACGGAGGGCGTCAGAAAAGGATGGAAACTGGGTACCGCTCTGAATCGAGGGCGGAAAATCCACCCCGAGAAGAACCGCCTGGACACGCGAAGCCGTTTAGTAAACGCACCCAGGGGAGGATTCAAACAGGGCAAAGCCTTTGAGTGACCGCCCAGGGCCGTTTAGCAAATGCCAATTGTCGGGTCCGGGTGGTTTTTCCTCCCTTGACTGAAGGCGAGCAAACCCCGTGGACTGGGATGTCCACGGGAGCGGGCCGGAGCCGCTGACGCTGGACGACTTGCACCAAGCATGCAAGACCTGCCCAGAGGCTGCCAGATTGGGCTGGGATAGCTTCCATCCCAAGTGGATTCTGAAGCTTCCCGAGGAGTGACAGACACGCTTGCCGCGGGTGCTGCACGTGTTTGAGCGCAGGCCAAGGGTGCTCTGGGACTTCATCACCTACGTAACGTCCTTGGCTAAGCCAGACGGCGGAGTGAGGCCTATCGGACTGTTGGCTCTCTTCCCCAAGTTATGGTCAAAGATGCGCCAGAAGAAGTGCGAGGCTTGGGAGTCGCGCCACAATGTGCCCTTCTTCTGGGGCGGCTCTTCGCAGACGGCCTTTGACAAGGCGGAATGGCCGCACAGTGTGCCAGCTGGCTCTGGGCGCGCAGCTGGCATGAATTGTGCTGCCGCGATGCTGGACCTGGGGAACTTCGAGGTGCACACTCGCCTCAACTTCTTGTGCGAGGCTGCACTCCGCGTCGGTTTCCCGCTGATGCTGCTCTGCGGGTTCTGCGTCATCTGCGCGGGGGAGCGCGCCCTCATCTTCCGAGGGGCGAGCTCAGCCACTTCGACGGGCGCACGGGGCGCGGTCATCGCTGGGTGCTCGGCGGCGACTTCATTGGCCCGGCTCCTACTGCTGGCACCTCTGGTGGCCGATTCCCGCCTGCAGCTCTACGTTTAGGTCGGGCTTGTCCCCCTACACGCGGATTTTGGAAGAAGAATTAGAAATACCCCCTCCAAAAAAAAAAGATCCCGAAAATACTAAAAAAAATCAAACTATCCCAGTGCGACCCTACCTAGGAGTTGGAGCCTCTGGGAAAGCAACACTAGTAGGAGCGGTAAACGCCGTCCTCCTCCTTCTCATCGTCGTAGTTGTAGTAGTAGTAGTAGTAGTAGTAGTAGTAGTAGTAGTAGTAGTAGTAGTAGTAGTGGTGGTGGTGGTGGTGGTGGTGGTGGTGGTGGT